TGCCAAGAACTGTTTGCAGTAATATAGGGGGTGGTCACCTTTGCACATGTGACATCTACGGATCGTGGTGGAAGCAGTCGTTGCTGACGGTTTGCTCTTCTGAATCCCATTGACAGCTTCTAATGATTCGAAACGACTCCTCAAACATTTCATGAAATGATCCATCGTTTGGAGTTCTTTCGAATCTACAATCGACTGCTCATACAACACATGAGTAGTCTTGTCCATCCTCTTTGTTAGGATGTGGATTAAGAGTGGATCCCATTCCTTCGGCCTTACTTCAAGACCCTCCAATGCCAATAACGATTCATGAAGACTATCATGAAAGTCCTTCACTGATCTGCTATCGCCAGACATGTTGGGCAGGTTTAGCATTCTCTCAAGTATAGTTGACACTTGAGCTCTCTTGTTATTGTACCTGTCTTGGAGTGTCTTCCAGGCAATGTCGTAATTCGCCTCGGTCAACTCGAGGTGCCTTATGAGTTTCTCGGCTTCCCCAGTCACGTTGGCCTTGAGATACCACATTTTTTGCACTTGTGGCAAGGCTTGCTCGTTGATCATTTTCCCAAAAATGTCAGCAAACGTCTGCCACTTCGAATAATCCCCATTAAATTGAGGGATTGTAATTTTTGGCAGATTAACTTGATTTGCCAAGTTTCCGCCTGATCTCTGCTGAGACGACGAATGATCGACCTGTGTTAGCGTCGATATTTTTTCTTTGAACTTTAACGTCTCTTCCTCTAAGAGAACGTAGGCTGATGCATCGTACCCCACCAACGTTGGGTCATCAAAGTCCTCGAACATTTTGAAGTGGATATCTTCCACGTGTGTCCACAGTTTTTCAATTGCAGCCACTGTCTGACAGGGAGCAGCTTGGCCTGAATTGCCCCTTATTAACGTTTGTATGGACTGCATTAGAGCCCTCTGACGTCTCACTAATGCAGTCACGCTGCTGGTTGCAGTAAACTGGCCTGATTGTTTTTGCACCCCCTCCCTTGTTGCGGGAAGCGGTTTCTGAGGCATTTGTTCTTTGCCCCTTTTGATGTCTGCCTCGATGTTGTCGATTGCAGCTCTGTACTCTTCACCAATGACTTGGTATTCGTTATTGGTGATATGGAGATGTGACTCTGCCGCAGGATCTGCACGAATTTTGTTTTCATTGCGATCGATCTCTGCCCAGAGTGCTTCCATTTCCTTGAGCTTTTTGCTGTGGAACTCCACCGTTCTTCTTTCCAATGGAGCCTTTTTTACGTTCGCAATTGCCTTCCTCAACTCGGCAATTGCTGCTTGTTGTTGCTCGATTACTGTAGCTAGATCCATCCTGTATCCGCCTTACGGTGATTAGCTATCAGTTGATTCAGATTCTTGATGTAGGTACTGGCTTCTTCTCCAGATGTTTCTGGCTCTTAGATGGTGCTACTAGTTGTACGTAACTAGCTCCTTTCACAAATAAATATTTCAAATTCCTTACCACTGGTGGGGGGAAATTCGAAATTTATGAGTGAATCAAGTAATCCTTGTCAGGATCACGTCGGGGTCACCAAAAAATGTTTATTAATATTAATTAAAGCAGATATACACAACACTTGAATTGTGTAACCTTGGTATGTTTACAATTTCTTGTAATCTACCAAGAATATTTATTTTTGCTTTCTATTTATACATTTTTGAATTCATTAAAACTAGCATTTAAAGTTAACTAAGCAATAAATTACTTCAGCCAATAACCCATGCAATGTGAAACCAATCGAGGTGTTTCTTTATTTAGGCTATTGGCCTGCATAAGGCAAACAATAATTATATAGGTCAGTTATATGCTGACATAGAATAAAATAATAATAAAAACAAAATTAAAAAATGTGTTAGTAAAATATGTTCTTTTGAACACATTTAATGATTTTTTTCTCATTCTATCTCTCCCACAACCAAACCCTCAACAGAATCTTATCCTTCGTACGCATTCGCATTATAAAGAAAATTGTGGCTGTCAGGAGTATATGGCGCCCAATTGTTTCCCCATACTTTCTCTGGAAAAAAACATACCAGTATGAACCATAATATGAACGTTTAATTATTTTTTTTTGTTCCTAAGTTCCAGTGGCAATTTTGTCAAATATATACAAATTATATCTCCGAGAAAGAGCTTTCTTCAAATGAAATTATCTTTCTAGCGCCGAGATGATTAGAAAACTATTAAAGCATTAAATGTCTTCCACAACATAATCATGGTAGCGGAATCTTTTACTTCGAAAAGCTATAAAAGAAAATTATGATCGTCTGGAGAAAATGGCGCCCAATTGGTTCCCCTTATTTTCTTATTTGCCCAAGTAAAAACAATTAAGTCAAAATATTTGATGAGTCCTTCCGATTTCGTCGATATAATTATTATAATGTACTGGAAAGAGCTTCCGCCAAGTGAAAAAATGCTGATGATAGATATAAACATTGAAACTTGATTTTATGACTGTCAAAAGAATACGGCGCCCAATTAAAAAGGATATAGCTTAACACAGAATTTTGGCGAGAACCCGCTTGAGGAACGAGCATTTGAACATCTGCTTGCCATTTGTTTATACGAAAGCTAGATATGGCAATCAAAGATTTTTTAAAAAAAGTTTTACAAATGGCGCCCAACTAAAAAAAAAAAATCAAAAACTTATATCATACTTCTTCAAGGGGACTATGAAAACAAATAATTTTCTACTGCAATTTATTACCATATCTTTAGATATAGAGTTATGCAATAAAAAATCCACAGTTTCAGCGTAAATTGTATCTCGCTTCCATATTTTTTTTCCGTAAAATCAAATTCCTTATCACCTTTAGGTTAGAATGCATAAAAATCTTTTTTGACTGGCTTAAGTCATCGACTGGCATTTTCACAAAAGAACTAAGGAACGTAGGGTAAGATAACCTAAAACTCCTTTGTTAATTAACGAAGATGCCAGCCTTAATCCAGTCAAAAATGCATTTTATGTATTTCCACCTTTATAAATAAGTTAAGTCAGCGATTTTAGATTTCAAGGTTAAAGATTTATGGGTGGCTTTTACGAACTAAAAAAGGAGAAACGATTTATTCGATTATTTATTTTTAATAATATGAGTTTTTTTGAGCTTTAGGCCAGTTTTTTATTTTATTTCATTTTTGATCTCCGATATTTCGCAATTGTATAAATTGCATCTTCAGGGGATTTGTAAACAATAATCGTCAAGTTAACTTAATAACTACGATAGAATGCACTATCATCGTCGGCTGTTAATATTGCACTAACAGCCGACGATGATAGTGCATTCTATCGTAGTTATTAAGTTAACTTGACGATTATTGTTTACAAATCCCCTGAAGATGCAATTTATACAATTGCGAAATATCGGAGATCAAAAATGAAATAAAATAAAAAACTGGCCTAAAGCTCAAAAAAACTCATATTATTAAATATATTGGAAAATAGGTCGAAAAAACTCACACTTATAATTATTTATTTTTTATGTTGCAGACAAAAGAATTGAAAAATCGATTTTAACCTCTGTGGACTAAACTACGGAAATGAATTTTTAGCTGATTAAATAAAACTTAAAGACCGAAGGCTCGATTGTGGGGGCATAAATCAAACCAACAATTATATTCTTGGATATATTGACAAATTTCAGTTTTTAATCCCGAACTACCCTCAATTGAGGGAAAATAATGAGGTTGTTATCAACACAATTTCTCTTTCGAATGTCCAATCTTTTCGTTATAAATCTGCTAGAGTTCACAAATATTTGAGTTTCTTATAAAATAATTTCAGATTGATTCTATTTAAATTACCTTTTCAAAATTTCTTTATTCTCAAAACTCCAACTCTTTGTCATCATCTTTTTATTTAAATTCATCGTTGCTATTAACAGGTACTTTAACGTGGCAAGATCAGAGCAGAGATCAACCTGTAACCGGCATCAATACAAAGCAGAGTAAATCTCCCTACCGAGAGGATGCCTTGCATGAGAGCAAAACCAACTCTTTATCTTAAAATCCCTCTCACCATGAGTTGAAAACATGAAAATTCCCCCAAGAGATGAGATCTTGTTTGAAAAAAAATCTCTACTAATATGCTGCCCCAAAGAATATATGCTCTTCTTTGAATATCTCAAATCAAGAAAACCCAACAAAATATTTCTCACATTCAAAAAATTATTTACTATGGCTCTCCTGCACAGCTCACGGTCTTCATTAAATTCACATTAAACGGCTTGCTCGTCGCTCCCATTAGGCATGACTGGCCGACTGGCATGCACACGACTCTGTATTTAATCGTTAAAATAAATACTCTCCATATGACAATTCTCAGGCGAATGAATAACCAAAAAAAAATTGAGGGGAGAATAGAATTTCCCACGGAATTTCGTAGTGCATTGATTTCTTTTCCCAACCCAAACGAACGGTTGCAATCTCCCAGTCTCTGCGTATCGGGCCGTTGTGTGTGCCGTGGACTGCACAGATGTTTTTGCCTGGGAATACTCTCACAATCCACTCTACACATTTGCTAAGTAGCAAAGCAACGCACTCTGACTCTCCCTTAATCTACTCTCTGCTGCTTGCCATATGCTCTTATCACAGACCCACTGCTAGGCAAACACCAGGCAAAATGTTGTGAGATAGGCGGAGTTAGCTGGCGCAGGTATAAAAGGCCATGCTCTGAGTATGAAGAGCTCACAACGAGTTTGTTACTCAAAGCGTCAAGAATACCAAAAGGAAACGGAAATTTTGAATAAAAATTTTGAAAAAAAAAAAAAATAAAAGAGAAAAAACCAGATTGAAAATATTAACAATCTGTTGAAGACAAAACGCTTAACATACGGATTACGGTCAAAAAAACAAAAAAAAATTACAGCGCAACACTAACAGAGAAAATATAAAAATCTCAAAACAAGCCAATCTGTGGATTATTAAAACAAAATACAAAAAGTGTTGAAAAATAACAAGAGAAAAATTGAAAATATTTTTTTCAAAATAAATAAAAAAGAAAGAAGAATTTAGAAAAAAGTGCTGAGTGTGGGTTTTTACAAAATATTGGAATATTGAAAAACCCCAGTCAAAACACATAACCTCGCAATATTTAAAAAAAAACGAGAAAAAATAAATAAATTTTCAAAATTTATTAAAATAAAACTCGCCACGGATTACCAGCGTTTTTCAAGCCCCACAACCCGTTACCAATAACAGCCGCCAAAATTCTACTCAAGGAACGTAAAGACATCATTTCTAAAATGAAATCCTTGACGGCCGTTTGCCAGACCGGTGCCTCAATGCCCGCCATCAATCCCAATGGACGCATTAGCCGTCATCCGCCGCATCGCGGTGATGGTGAAAATGCCGAAATGAAAATGTATTTGTCCAAACTGAAGGATCTGGTGCCGTTCATGCCCAAAAATCGCAAACTTTCCAAATTGGAAATCATCCAGCATGTCATCGATTACATTTGCGATTTGCAATCCGAGCTGGAGACACATCCTGAAATCAATAATTTTGATGCCAGTGCAGCATTGAGTTTTGCCGCCAGCAGCATGCAAAGAGTTTCGTCGGGCAGTGAAGAGGGTGGTGCCGATGAAGATATGGCCGCCGAGGAGGAGGAGGAGGACAGTGAAGTGCAACAGCGTTTAAGTGGAGCCAGTACACAACAACAACAACATCAATCTAGTCCTGCTGCTCAGCGTCAACCTTTGGTTGATCGCCCCACACCCAACACAATTTTGCCACCCGCCTCACAACAACAGCAACAGCGACACCTTAACAACGCCCTCACAACAGTCTCCACCTCCCCGTCCGCTGTGACAGTAACCTCCTCATCATCTCCAGCGTTTGAAGAAAGCCTCAGCTCCTCAGCCAGCTCCCATGCAGATTCAACGAATCACACGGTAAGTTCGTTGAAAAAGTATTAGGAAGGCTGAACAACTCCACCCAACACCCCCCTTCTACCCACCCACAAACAACAACAAAAAACACTCAAACACCCTCACATCGTAGAATATTAGACTTAGAAAGCAGAGACTGTAGGGGAAAATTAAATGAAAAAAAGAAGACTCCCCAGAAAACAACAACAGCAACAACAACAAAAATATGGAAAATTGCAATTTTGTTTTTGTTGTCCACTCTCCACTCCACTCCAATCTAAATTTTATTTTTGTTAACATATTTTTTCATGTACCATCTTTATTTTTTTAAACTTTCTTTAGAAAAGACTTTTAATTTTTTTAAAAGCGTTAATGTTGATTTTTATTATATAAATATATATAAAACATGTATGTATGTCCTTGTAAAACCTCAAATGTTTAAGTCACTTGAATTAAGTACCGTAAAATGTGAAATTAACAATAAAAGTCAAACTTTCAGTTATTAAGAAAAAGAAAACAACAAAAGAAAAAAAGAGGAAACCTAATGCAATTTCATTTGAATAATTTTTTGTTTTTTATTTTTATTATTTTTCATTACAAATCATTATTTTTTGTAATTTCCTAAGATTTTTTTTGTGTATAATATTATTATTGTAGTTTTAAGCTATTAAAAAAACAAAAGAAAATCTTTGATGATCTTGAAAAAAAGTTGTATATAAGTTTAGCATATAAATTGTATGTTTTAAGTATAACAAAAAACTGGAAAAAATAAAAAAAACCACAATTTGTTTTGTGAAAAAATCAATATAAACTGAAAAAAATCTGTGTTTTCAAAATTTATTTCATACATGTATTTTTTCCTATTAACTGGAAGTTGGATTTCTTCATACTAAAGCCGGGCAAAGAGAAGTTCAATGGAGTTGGCTTTGGATTTTTAAAAGGGTTATAAATGGTTTGGAACATATTATTTTTAATTTGATTGGGTATTCGGTAATTAAAGATTGTGTAGAATGGCTTTTCTTTTAAAGGTATTTAAAATAAATGCGATATTTGCTTTACCAACTGCTTGAGTAGAGATTTTCCAACGCTTAGTCTTGATGCAAAATGCCGTCGGTAATGGAGTGACAATAAGGCTTTGGTTTCTTTTTCATACAAAGGCAACTTGTTTTAGAATTAAGAGGCTTAATTGGGAATTATGTAATGAATTACAGTAAGAAATTATTTCAAGTAATGTTGAGGAGAGTAAATTTTCGAAAATAAGAAAATTTAATACAAAAAAAAAAAAAAAAAACTAAGTCTTAAATTTTTGGAATAGAGTTTAAACTCAAACAGGCTGGTAAAGTTTCGATTTTGGGTTTTTAATATTACAAAAGCAATTTTTATTAATTAGTGAAAAATTGGATTTCCTATATATAAATAAATGAAACAGTGAAACATATGTACAGGTTTCAAATCCTCACATTCAATCTATATTTATATATAAAATGGTGAAAAATGTATAGTAATTCATCAGTTGAGAACGGCTGGGCCGATTTGACTGAAATTTTCCTCTGATTATTTTAGTGGAAAGATTGTTATAAAAGAAAATTTTGAGAAAATCCTCCAAAAAAAGCGAAATAGGGAAAATCTTAAGTTGTCTTTTTGATATGGAATTTTGAGTGGCATTTTTCCAGATGGAATTTTCGAATGGAAAAATTGAAAATCCTTAGTGGAAAATACGGAAAATTCCTATAAAAACCCGAAAATGTGAATTTTATCGTATATTTTTAGTAACGTTTATAACTGAAGAACGGCTGGACTGATTGTGAAATTATCAGCAATTCAGAATGATCTGTTGGCGAAAAGGAAAAAAAAAAACAATAAAATCTTTCCAAATCTAGCGAATGTGAGCTTTCTGACTTACCCAGAAATGGTCCATATCGGTTTTGGAATCCGGATAATTCGATTCGTAAAATGTTTCATAATAATTTGGTAATATTGAAAAAAATAAAACAAAAAATTTTTTACTTGTTCATAAGAAAAACATAAGGGACAAAGGCCATTTTTATGGGTTGCCATAGAGTTTTAACAATGTCGCTTCGTCTGCGTAATATCTGGTAAAATATTTTACTTAGAATTGATACCGTCCGCCATGAAAAAAAACTTTAATTATAGCTAACTCGGACTGCTTCAATTCGTCTCATACAATTTTACTATAAGTCACAGGATCCACCAAAACTCTAAATCTTTCCCAAACACCAGGATTTTATAAACATGAAAAACTTATTTTAGTCGTACTTTACAGTGTGAGATAAATAAAAACTGCAATAATGTCAAACGCCATAATTTTTACATTTTCATTTAATTTTATTGAATTATAGCAAAAATATCGGAAATAGCTTCACATTTTAGAATATGTTTAGATTTCTTCGAATTGGACACCTTTGGCACAAATTATGGCCTTCAAACGCCCAATGAAACAGTCACACGCTGCCGGAATGTTGCTCGCGGCATTTTGGCCCATTCCCGACGAAGCACTTGCTTGAGGTGATCGACACTTGGTATTTTTAGTGCCAATTTTGCTTTCCAAAATACTCCAGACACAATAGTCCAACGGATTGGTATCCGAAAATTTTGGTGGCCATTGTGTGCTGGAAATGAAGCGAGGAACCTCATTTTGAAACCATTCTTGGTTGGCGCGTGCTGAGTGCGATGGTGCTGAGTCCTGTTGGAATGTCCAAGGTCTGCGGCCAAAATGTTTGCGTTCCCAAAGTTTTAATACACTCTCCAGAATATTTTAGCGATCATTTTCGGCATTTATTCTGATGCCCTGGTCGATTACTTCGAGCGGAGAGCGACCATCGGCTGTTATGGCGGCCCACTCCATCACTATGGCCGCTTTACCCCGAGCTCATTTTTCAATATTTGCCGAATGGAATATTGCGATATGTTCAGGTCACGAGCCATTTTTCGGTCACTGCGACGCGGGTTTCGATCAAGTCACTTTTTACTTTTTGAACCATTTCTGCTGATGTTGCTGTTTTCTTCCTTCCACTTCCCTTACGTCGGGCTACGCTACCAGTATCACGGAAACGGTAACGATAGCCGCTTGTGGTTTTCCAGCCATATATAAAGAAATCACGCTTGAATTCCATCACGAATAACTTTTTTCTGGAAAATTCTGACCAAAATGCTTTTTGTTAACAATATAATGAGCTGTCAATGGAATAATTTTAATAGCTGTCGGACTAGTTGCTTAGAAATGACAGCAGTCTGAAGTTGGTCGCAGTTTCTTCGTCTCACCCTGTATTTTAAATTGTATTATAATATAAAGCATACATTGTTTTAAATTAGCCATATTTCGAACAGTGTGGCTTGTTTGTTCGGGATACCGTAGTATTTTGTTGTTGCAAAATGGTCAGGCTTATCCCTTTTATTGTTGTTTTTATAAAAACAACGTTTCTTTATTAGTGGAGAACGATGGTAATGTTTACCAGTGGGTAAGGCAGGGAATACCAAGGTTTCGGAAAGAGCCACCAATCCTCATCAGTTCCCTTGTTTTTTGTCTGGGATATTCTCCCCAGAAGTTATTTTAAAAATAACTTCTATGACAAAAAAAAAAACATTTTTACCCAAGTGACGAGATCGTAAGCTCAATAGAAGAGGAACCAAAGAATTAAATAAAACTAAAATTCTTTTGGAAAGTCTTCTAAATCTTACAACCGCACTTATAAACATTTACATCTTTCTCCACTTGTTATGCTTTCGTTCAACCTGAACGAAGAAGCATAACCATGTAAGTTGGTTTTGTCTGTTACAACAAAAACCCCTTCGTCGACCTCTTCTATTGAGCTTACGATCTCGTCACTTGGGTAAAAATGTTTTTTTGTCATAGAAGTTATTTTTAAAATAACTTCTGGGGAGAATATCCCAGACAAAAAACAAGGGAACTGATGAGGATTGGTGGCTCTTTCCGAAACCTAGGTATTCCCTGCCTTACCCCCTGGTAAACATTACCATCGTTCTCCACTAATAAACAAACGTTGTTTCTATAAAAACAACAATAAAAGGGATAACCCTGACCATTTTGCAACAAAAAAAAAAAAAAATTAGTCATATTTCTATAATGGAATTTTTTGAAATTTGGCACATGAAACTCCCGATACTTTTATTTGTTTATTTTCCTCAAGGTGCTGAATTTCAAAAGTTCGGACTGAATAGTTGTTCAATATTACCTTTTTTCGTTGAATGACAGATTTAGGCCAGTGACAACCTTTACATACGGGCCTTCTTCTTTTTATTATGCATCGGAACAATCTGCTGTCTAACTACATAACTTATTTATATGAATAAAAAAATATCGGAAATTAAAATCATTGGAATGTTTACAGAACAAAGTAAATTTTCAAATTTTAAAAAAGTTAAATTCTTAATAGCACAATAAATGTTAAAAAAAAAACAGAAAACTGCAATAATATTTTAGGCAGTAGTTTTTTCTCAATATCCAAAAGATTGCACGTATGCACATGCATTTCTTAAACTTTACTAAATTTGCCATCTGTTCCCCATACAAAGCTGCAACGACGACGACAACAACAACAACTATGCCAAAAACCTTGAATAGAATTTGCGTTTGCTTGCAGTTTAAAGGTGACACACACACACGAAATTTACATTTAATGCATTTTGCGCCTCGCCATTGTGGAGTAATTTCCTTTGAAACGAACGAACGATTTTATTGTCCGTGCATTTTTTTCCATTTCTATTCAATTCAAAGTAATTTCCATATTTATAAATTGACCCACAATTTTTGTTCGGATGGCCAGAGACGAACAAAGGCATGAAATATAAAACTGCTTAGAAATGAATTTATTGAAAGAAAATAAAAAAACTGAATGTGAGACAAAAACGTTTTGTCCCAAATACTTTGCAATGCTAAATGAAAATTGAAAATATACAAAAAAAAAAAAAAAAAATGCAAGTGAAGTAATTCAATAATAATAATCGGCAGGGACGGAAATTTGATGGTGCAACCTAGAATAGCTGAGGACAATAGAATAGACAATAGTTTTTAATATACAATAAATTTCAATTTTCTGATTTTTTCATTTGATGCATGAAAGTAACGTAAAAGTTCGTTTCATGTAAAAAGTGTCAAAAGAAGAATTATTCTACACCAAATTTCATCATAAATCTCAGAATAAAGTA